GCTTCTTCTTTTTTTAGTTAAAAATAATTAAACAATTACTATCAAATTTTAAAAGTTCACATTTAATTGTAGTTACAGCTCCTAATAATAAGGAGATAAACAAAGCAACAGTTACAATCATTTTAATTACCGTTTCAAGACAAAGCCTTCATTTTTCCCTTGCCATTTCCACCAAACACATAATTTTCAATTCCAAAGTTTCAATTGCAGTGGCTTAAGCCAGTGAACAAATTAACAATAGAGAAGAAGTTTAATGGAAAAGATGATCCGACAGTAGAAAATTTTTCTTTTCCCACTTTTTATGTGAAGGTAGAAAGTTTCACTATTGCAACTTGGTTAATGATTGGTTGCTTAATTCAAAATCTAAATGTGCTATATTTGTGTTTAATACAAGGAGTGGTTGGGATACTAGGTCATGGTTTCAAAAGAATTTGGAGCAAAAAGATAAGTAAATTTATTGATTTGTGCGAGTAAGAATCTTCACCAATTCAGTATTTCTCTAATCCTTTTTTCCCCTTACTTATCTTCTTCATTTGTTTGGTCTTGGTTATAAGAAGGAGATCAAGTATCCAAATATGGAATTTTAAATACTCCAATGCTTTATGTCTTTTTTTTATTGGTAATTGTCCCTTCTCTTTTCACTTTCTTCTTTTCTTCTTTCCTTTATTTCTTCTTCTTTGTTTCTTTATGTAGAGCAACTTACGGGAGAAAACTATTCCAATTTTATACTCATGAAACATTTTGAAAGATAAATTGATTTTTGTAGTATTTACAATTATGCCTATAAAAGGTAAAGGTTCAACTTAACAATATGCCAGATGATTATTGAACAGTTATGGTAGATATTTCAATTTTTTCATATTTAAGTTATCTAAGGATTCTGTTATACAGGTTTTTAAAAATTTCTTTCTAAATTTTCTGTGGAATGATTACGTTTTTTTTCTATGGGAGGGAAGGAAGCTGATGAAAGGCTTGAAAACTTTAATTCCAGAGTCTGTATAGTCACTAAATGTAATCAGGTTTTGTTGGGATGATTAATAATAATATTTTTTCTTTACCAAAAAAAAAAAAAAAAAAAAAAAAAAAAAAACTTGCTCATCTAAGCAGGATATTTTACTTTCTATTTACTGGTTTTAAATATCACTTTCAGCAGCAATACATATTTTATGTGCACTAATCTTTCTTTTGGCATTTCGCAATTTTGTGTGCTGGGTTTTTAGATACACGCGAAGGACTTTTCCAAAATGGATGTTATATTGACTGTAACAAATGATATTGCTGAAATAAAAATTGAATTAAAAGAATGACTACAAAATGATAGAATGAAATGTTTATCATAAAGTTTTGTAATATGTACATAATTTCACAACTCTACTTTCTTTATCTTTTTATGTTATAGTAAAAATATTATCTAAGTTAATTGTCGTCTATATACTATGAGAATCGAATTGGATATTATAATATTTCATTACGCTATTATACTGGTTAGGGATAGAAATGATGCATAATGCATTTGAGTACTTTTTCGCCGGTAATATAACTTAACTAATAATTTATATTGTTTGTTATTTCTTTGCTTGATTAACTTATGCTTTTTTAATTTTTCTTGAAAAACCATATTCATGTATGGAATATTTTCTATCGACTCTAGGAGTTCTTTAGACTGACATCATTTTTTAATCACGATTAAATGTCAAATCACGATCTAAAAAGGTACAATAATATATTTTGTAAAAATATTCAATATTGACGCATTACTTTTATTCTAAACATGATGTATACTGGTTAGTCAATAAATCATTTTTTTGTAGATTACGAATCTATAATTTTATTTTTTCCTTTTACGTTCATATTCAAGAGAATTTTCGTGCATTATGGATTTTTTTTTAAATCTTAGGACAAAAGTTAATAAAAATATAATATAAATTTGAATTTGAATAAAAAAGGAATTTTTTGAATTTAAATAAAAAGATAAATTATTTGCAATAGATATGAAAGTGTTTAGCTTCATTTTAATAACTACTTCTAACATATTGGATTAGACTGAAGTCTTCTTCTAATCTGTATTTGATTGTATCTTTTCTATTATGCATAACAAAACTTATCAATTCTAATTTATCCGAGGACATATTTTTATCTTTAAATTCAGATCCTTATACACAATATGTATCTTCTACAGCTAAATAATTATTTCATGGCTTGACCAATCACTATAAGGCATTTTGATGCCAATTACACAAATGTGACGATACTGTCATTTTATACTATGTCTGGGTTTGAGTCATGAAGATAGACTTTGGGTGCCAATTAAAGTGGTTGGTCTATTAAGTACTATTATAAGGTTTTATACCAGACATTTTATAAACCATCAAATTTGACTCTCTACTAATTGTTTAGTTTACTGCGCTTTGATAGAGGATTGGAACAAGTACTTCAAAACAAGGAAACGGGTACTTTCAAGATCTTTAGAAATACGGAACAAATTGTCTGGACGGGTAACTAAGATGGGGAATCCATAGAACATGATTTCAATCAGAAGAAGATAGAAGCAAGGAAGATTTGGCGTAGACAACTTGAGGTTGAGACCATTAATACTTTTATTGTAGTTTGATTAGCATACATCCAAAATCTTCTAATTTGATTGATCATTCTCTATTTTTTTTATGCTTTGCAGCCTGACACCCATCTAAACCAAAAAGAAAAGTGCATTTCATACACTGAATTTGTATACGAAGAGCTCATTCTGTTTTCAGTGGCTGAGATTTAAAGGTCAATTTTATCAATGCTTGACGGTTTGAAACCGGATCAAAGGAATATTATGTTTTGTGCTTTAGCAGGAACTTTATTAATTTGTACCAAACATATTGTGTAGTAGAAACAACCTTTTTCAAATGCTACTAATAGATTTGTTTGAGAATCAGAATATGGCCAATCATCCAAGATTGTATTTTCTTACGAATGCTTTTCTCACTAGCTATTTTTGAATGGATACATATTTTTCCTTATGACTTGAATGTTTGAAAATTCAGTAAATTTACATATTCATAAAATAATAGCATTTGCATGCTCTTTTGTGTCTACCATATTTTCAAGTAATATTTTTTTATGGAAAACTATATTTAATATTTAATGCGCAACGCGCGGTTACAAGATACTAGTATATGGAAGAAAAAGGAAGCACCCGTGAAGAAAGAGTGTGATTAGAAACAAACAAAAAAGAAAGGCAAGCCCGCAAAGCAAGAGAAAACAACTAAAAAGAAGAAAGCCAAGTGTAAAGCAAAGAAACTACGCAATAAATATAACCATAATAAGCATTATAATTCTTCGTTTCTAACTTGTAGTAATATTCTACGGCCTACTGCTAAAACTTTTAAAAAGGGAAGTAGTTATACTCTACCAATTAAGAAACTAACAAGCAAAAAAGCCATAATATAACAGAAGAAAAAAGAAAGTGAAACTCAAACTGAAAGTTTTATAATAAAACTGCTGCTGGATGGTGGTATGGTCTTTCTGCCACTGAACAAACACTTTTATCTCTTTCAATATGTCAAAGTTCTTTTTTTCCTAAGCCATCTAAGGGGAAAGTGCATTTCAGAAAAACAAGCTTTCATTTCAAACCTAATTTATTTATTTCATGTATAACTATCTTAGTTAAAAGATATTTCCTTCTATTTTGAATAAACCTATATATGCTGATAAAACAAACTTTTACAATATCAATATATTTTAATATGTTATATTACATTACTCTGTTTGTTTCAATTTAAATGATAAATTTTTCCCATTAGTTCATTAAAAAAAATGACACATTTTTATATTTGAAAATAATTTAATCTTAAACTTTTAATTTTACCCATTTTACCTTTAATGGTAAGTTTTTATAGCCACAAAAATGTTATGGCCCCATAAAAATTTTGCCCCATCGCATATTTCAAAAATATTTTTTTATTCTCTTAAATTTTGTGTCAAGTTAAATTATAGTATTATCTAACTTGAAACTTACTGATTTTTTTTTATTATCAAAGAAAGAAAAGAAGGAAAACGTAGGGGAGTCTAGTTGTGGTGTGTAGGTAAGCTGCCAAAGAAGAGTTCCTCGTTTCCCGTTACAGTGCTGGGGCTGATCCAGAATGACTCATCATTCATTGCCAGCTCTTTCCCATTTATTGCCTTCTCTGTTACTGCCACTGTTTCCCCTTCAAATTTCAAACTTTTTAACCACATAACCATTATATGCACCCTGGTTAAAAAAAAGATTCCTATTTACACTCTCTTTGTTTTTATCTAGACCTATTTTCATCTTTTGTTTGCTTCTCTAGATAATGTAATTATGAGTCGGATCCAAGATTTAAATTTTATGGGTTTAATTTTTGAAGTTTTTAACTTTGAACCCATTATAATTTAAAGTCATGGGTTCGTATCTACTATTTTTACAATTTTAATAAATTTTTACTCCGCATCGAAAGTTATGGGTTCAATTGAACCAGTCAACGATGCACTACTTCCGCCTTTGATTATACTTGAGGCTAATTCAGAATTTAAATTTGAAAGTTAAAGCACTCTGTTGAACTCGTTGAATTTTGAGATTATAACTTTAACATTTTATACTTGGTAAAGTTTAAAGAAAATTATGCGTTGAAATTGTTGAACTCTATTAGAAGTTAGAGGATTATAGAAGCAAGATTAGGAGTTAGTTATTATTGGGACCCAAATATAATTACTAGGAGTTAGGGGGTCTTTTTATTATTTTATTTTCTCAGTTAGTTGTATATAACTGATTCAGTTAGCACAGTAAATGTAGTTGGAAAATTTCTTAATTCCTTCTTCTTCTTCCTCACGTGTGCAGAGCTCTCTAATGGCGGTTTCTAACATGGTATCAGAGCATAGAGATTGATCCATGAGATTGTGAAATTTTTCCAACTAATCGACAACTTGATCTAATTTATCTTCTCACTTTTGATTTGAATCAATTTCTAGTTTTTTGATACTCTGCATAAGCGTCAATGTCGGCAAAAACACCAATGAAAATCGACCACACTCATCCACTCTTCCTTCAACCTTCAGATACGCCTGGATTTGTTCTAATTCCGATTCAGCTCACAAAATCGGAGAACTATGGATTATGGAGTAGATCGATGCGTCTTGCTCTCAAGGCCAAGCGGAAGCTAGGGTTTGTAACAGGAGCGTGTGCAAAGGAGTCATTCGAGAAAAATCTCCATGAGGAATGGGAGACTTGCAATGCGATAGTGCACCGCTGGATTATGAACTCTGTTTCGAAAGATCTGCTTAGTGGTATCATTTATGCATCAGATGCACAAGCAGTTTGGGAAGATCTACAGGAGCGATTTGATAAAGTAAATCGAGTTCGGATTTTTCAATTACATAGATCGATTTCGAGACTATATCAAGGAGCAGATTCTGTAGCTGTATATTTCACCAAATTGAATGAGCTGTGGGCTGAGTATGATATTTTGGTGTCATATTCGGATTGTGGTTGTCCAAAATCTAAAGAACACATGACTCATTTACAGCAACAAAGACTCATGTAGTTCTTAGATGGACTAAATTATACATATGATCAAGCTCGCAGACAAATTTGAATGAAACAACTGAACCCACATTTGATCAGGCATATGCACTCATAACACAAGATGAGAGTCAGCAATGTGCAGGAGGTGGAGTTCTAGGCCACAAGTCAGATCCCTTAGTCATGCAGGCAGGCAGAGGTCAAGGATTTTGTGGAAGGAAACAATTTCTGCAATGTGAACATTGTCATATGAGAGGACACACAAAGGAAAATTGTTATAAAATAGTAGGATACCTTGAAGATTTCAGAAGGAGGAAAACATTTCATCATAAGGGGATTCTAACAACTGCAAATCATGTGGAAGGTTCAGTGAATCATGAAGAAGGAAATATGGCTCAGAGTTCACAAGGAACATCAGGCACATCACAAGCTAGAGGAGGAGACCACTTATTTACAGAAGCACAATATCAGCAGATTCTAGATTTGTTGAGAGACTCGCCACCAAATGGCATGAAGGCGCAGAATCAGACAACAGCTGCAGGTATAATCACTACATTATCTTTTAGTGTACATATATCAAACAAAAGCAATGATGATTAGATTGTAGACTCGGGAGCAACACATCACATTTCATCTACCTTAGATTTAATGAATGATGTAAGAAGAGTAGATGACAACATACAAGATAAAGTGACATTGCCAAATGGTGTCACTACAAAAATTGAACATGTGGGGAGTTCATATTTGTCAGATGTTGATAAGCTAGAGAATGTACTACATGTTCCTGACTTTAAGTTTAATCTAATGTCAGTGTCCAAGCTAACTAGAGATCTAAGATGTGCTGTCATACTTCTTCCCACACTGTGTGTGTTTCAGGACCTTTACAATGGCAGGGTGAAGGCGATTGGTAAAGAGAATAAAGGTTTGTACATACTGAAAGGAAGAAGAATCAAACTTTTAGCAGCAAATGTGGATGTAGGAGGTTCAAGTGCTGAAACAGCTTACTTGTGGCATGAGAGATTAGGCCATGCTTCTGTTCCTGTAAGGCAACATGTTTCTTTTTTGCATAATAAAGTAGATGATAATATGCAGAATAAGTGTACTGTTTGCCCTCTAGCTAAACAGTATAGATTGAGCTTTCCTAACAGTGAGAAAATGAGTGCTGGATGTGTGAGGACCATATAAGAAGAGCACTCATGATAGAAAACATTACTTTTTTTACAGTTGTGGATGATTTCTCTAGAGCTACTTAGATTTTCTTGATACAGTATAAGAGTGAAACTATTACTTTTCTGAAGCAGTTCATTTCCATGGTCAAGACACAATTTGATACTTGTGTTAAGGTTGTGAGAACAGACAACGGTAAAGAATTTTTCAATACACAGTGTTATGAATTTTTGCTATCTCAGGGAATCATTCACAAAAGTAGTTGTGTATATACACCCCAGCAGAATAGAGTAGTTCAAAAGGAAACATAGACATATACTGAATACTGCCAGGGTATTAAAATTTCAAAGTCATGTTCCAGATATGTTTGGGGGAAATCAGGCTGTCCATATGGGGTATTCAACTACACAAAAGGACTATAGATTATATGATTTAACTACTAGAACCTTCTTCATTAGCAGGGATGTATCCTTTAGGGAGAATGAGTTTCCCTTTAGGAAAATTACACAACATTCATTTACAACTAATGACTTTGGTTCTAGTTTCTTGGAGACAATTGATGTGCAGGGTCAACCAGGTGGACTACCAACAGGTTCCAATCTTGAGGAATCATTTCAGGTTCCTGCTACTGCAGACATAGGTAACAGTTCACCAGTAGAGTATGGCAGTATTCGAGTGAGTACTGAAACATCAACAACAGAAAATCTAGAAGGACCATCAGTGTCAAATGAAAATCATGATGCTGTTGTGCTGGAGAGTGTTGAAGGTACATCTGCTGTTCCACTTACTCAAGATGGTGTATAGAAGCTATGTTTCAGTCTTCTCAGTCTTGAAGGAGCCTTATAACTTCAAAGAAGCTGTAGAGGATGAGAGATGGATCACGGCCATGGAGCAAGAGATACAAGCATTAGAAGATAATAAGACTTGGGAGGTTATTGACTTGCCACCAGGTAAAACCCCCATTGGATCCAAGTGAGTGTACAAAATAAAGTACCGAGCAAATAGAGAAGTTGAAAGATTCAAGGCACGACTTGTGGCAAAAGGATACAATCAACAAGAGGGGTTGGACTATCATGAGACATTTTCACCAGTTGCAAAGATCGTAACTGTTAGGTCTGTGATAGCGCTTGCAGCTGCAAAAGATTGGTCCCTACACCAAATGGATGTCTTTAATTCTTTTCTTCAAGGAGATTTGTTTGAAGAAGTCTTTATGGATTTACCACAAGGTTTTCAAAGGTAGGGGGAGTAGAATGTGTGCAAGCTAAATAAGTCCCTATATGGTCTCAAGCAAGCATTTAGAAAATGAAATTTGAAACTCACAGAAGCATTAGTGGGGGCAGGCTTTGTACAAAGCACTTGCGACTTCTCTATGTTCACTAAGAGGTCAGGTAAGGATATTGTCATCATCCTCATCTATGTTGATGACTTGCTATTGACTAGAAGCAATAAGGATTTAATTGATGAAGCTAAAGCAGCTTTGTATCAGCAATTCAAACTCAAGGACCTAGGAAAATTGATGTGTTTCTTAGGGATTGAAGTGTTGAGATCTAATCATGGAATATTACTTCATCAAATGAAATACAGTTTGGAGCTGATCTCTGAATTGGGCTTAAGTGGTGCCAAGCCAGCTTTGACACCACTTGAAGTCAATCAGAAGCTTACAAGTGTGGAATATGACAGAGCCATTGGGATACAAGATAAAGATCCCTTGGCAGATGCAAACAAGTATTAAAAACTGATAGGGAAATTGCTCTACCTGACAGTTACTAGACCATATATCAGTTATGCAGTCCAGACTTTGAGTCAATTTATGCAACTACCTAAGAAGTCACACATGGAGGCTGCTTTTAGAGTAGTGAGGTATTTGAAGGCTACACCAGGAATGAGAGTTTTATTGAAGCGAGGGAATGTAGATACATTGACAGTTTTTTGTGATTCTAACTGAGCAGTTTGCCCAATGACACGAAGGTCTGTTAGTGGATATGCAGTCAAACTTGGTAATTTATTGATTTCATGGAAATCAAAGAAACAACACACTGTTTCACAAAGCAGTGCTAAAGCAGAATATCGCAGCATGGCATCAACAGTCTCAGAAATAGTGTGGCTTTTGGGCTATTTTCAGAGTTGGAAGTGCGAGTCCTTAAACCAGTGACACTATTCTGTGACAACAAAGCAGCAATGCAAATAGCTGCGAATCCCATTTCTCATAAACATACAAAACACATCGAGATAAATTGTCATTTTGTTCTTGAACGTATCAAGGATGACACCTTGGTCACACAATATATTTCTACAAAAGACCAACAGGCAGATCTCTTCACCAAAGGGCTTTTATCTGTGCAACATAGTTTTCTACTCAACAAGCTGGGAGCGTTGAACATGCTCCACCCTCCAGCTTGAGGGGGAGTATTGGAAGTTAGAGGATTATAGAAGCTAGATTAGGAGTTAGTTATTATTGAGACCCAAATGTAATTACTAGGAGTTAGGGGGTCTTTTTATTATTTTGTTTTCTCAGTTAGTTGTATATAATTGATTCAGTTAGCACCGTAAATGTAGTTGGAAAATTTCTCAATTCCTTCTTCTTCTTCCTCACGTGTATAGAGCTCTCTAATGACGGTTTCTAACAAACTCAATTAAATCCATCCAACTCATGTTCTATTCTCCCCGGACTTGCATTTACACCCAATATACTCCCTCCGATTCATAATAACTGACAATTTTACATTTTTATTTTGGTCCAAAATAAGTGTTCTTTTACATAATCAAGAAGGAATTAATTTTATTTTTCCAAAATTTACTATTATTTACATATTCCAATGAGTCAAGATAGTATTTTTTTTTCTTTAGGAGTTTGTATTTCTGTAATACGTGTGCAAAAGATAAAATGGTTACTTATGGTGGACCGGAGGGAGTAACTCCTAATATACAGGTTTCTACCATAAGAAGGTCAGAATAATCTGCATCGAGTATTATATCATTAGTAATACTCCTAGTTAAAAAACTATATACTATATCAACTTCTTCTACTAATAATAACCCGTCCCTATCCTTACTTCACGATCTTTAATTTTTCACCATTGTGTTTTAGTTACATGCCAAGTCGTCTTCTTACTCGTATCATTTTTCGAACTCAAATGGTTAATTATCGCCATGAATCACTGAGGCTTTGAGTCTTAGACTTAATTCAACTATCTGTTTTTGCTAATTAAAAAAAAACATGGAATCTCCGAAATGAGAATATGATTTTAACGTGTGGAGTGGAAAATAGTAACTTTAACAATTTTGTCAAAACGTAAAAAATATAGTATACAGTATTATATGCTGTCCCTATGCCTCAAAGTCTACTTGTTGGAGTATCTGACAAATTTTACAATCCTCGATAAGATGCTACAAAGCAAACTCTGTATATACACATAAAACCACTACCCAACGGGACGGAACCCCCAAACCAACTCATACGCATTTTCTTTCTTTATTTCTTCTTACCCCTTAGCTTTCCAAAAAAACGCCTCATTTCATGCCTTAATTTCTTCCCGCTTTCTTTTTTCTTCCGTTTCTCTTTCATTCCTAAATTTTCTCAATTCACTTTCCTTTCTCATAATCTATGGCTTCTTCTTCTACCAATAATCCTAACGGGTCAGACCCGAGTTTATCCACACCAAATACAACTTTTGTTCAAGCTGACCCGTCAAATTTCCGGGCCGTTGTTCAAAGACTCACTGGCGCAACCCAAGACTCGTCTTTTGTTAAGCTCCCTGTTACTGGGTCTGGACCAGCTGGGCCACCTCGGCGACCGGCTTTTAAGCTGCACGAGCGGAGACAAATGTGTGCGAGAAAGCTCGAGATCATGCTTAACAATGGGGGTTGTAATGGGCCGCCTGTGGGCTTCGGCACCGGCCCACTTTTGTCACCTTCTTCTTCTTCTTCTTCTTCTGCTAGGAAGAGAAGCTTTTTGGCTTCGCCAGTTTCACCACTAGAAATGCTGACACGTGGCAGCCCAAGAACTCCGAGATCACCTATGGAAGAAGAAGAAAAAGCCATTGCTGAAAAAGGATTTTATTTGCATCCAAGTCCACTTAGTACTCCTAGAGGCTCTGAACCTCCTGAACTCTTGCCTTTATTTCCACTTCAGTCCCCAACTGCTAGAAATGATTCATCATCTTCTTCTTGATTAATTAAAGATGTCTTCTTGTGTCATTTATAAATATTTACTATATAAAAGAAATTAATTATGAAGAGATTGTCTTGTACTAATGGTGGTGTTGGTAGAGTTAATGTGAAATTTGATGTGTCTTACATATTTTGAAATGCCATGTACTAATATTTGTGTCTCACTCTCTTTTTAACAATGAGCATTAATTGTATCTTAATTTTTAACCTTTCATTTTTTTGAGGTGGTTCTCGATAGGTTTTGTGAATATAAGTGAACTCATTATTTACGACTAATTAAACTATGCATGCATATTTAAAAAGTATTTAAAATATTTATGTATTATAAAATCACATATTTAGAACCTGATTTTTTTCAAAGTTGAAGTACTGGGGTTGGGTTGGGTTGGTGTATCTTAAGCTACAGTAATCTTTTTTGCATTATTGGTTACACATTTGAAGAAAGGCCAGTGAAGCAATGATAATTGTTTTGCCTGTTTGGGATAAAGCTCATCCAATGTCCCGCGCTGGTGAAAGTACAGAATTTAGTAAATCATGTTTTACCAAATTATTACCTCTGTTATAAGCTTGTGTCGTAATTAACAACATATAGCTGGTGCCCTAAAATATTATTGTCTTCCTTTTTTATTTTAAATATAAACAATAATATATAACAATAACAACAAACCTAGTGTAATCTCACATAATAGGGTCTGAGGAGGGTAGCGTGTATACATACCTTAGCTCCTACCTTCTCACTTGTGAAAGTAGAGAGTCCGTTTCCGACAAATCCCGGCTAAAAAATAAATAAATGAAGCAGAAATAACAATTGGAATTTTAAATATAAACAGTTGTAAGACAAAAGAGAAATCAGCAAATGTGTTACTACTTATGGTCAGGCCAACGGCTACGATTCGTGCTTTGCATTGAATGAGCTGCTTTCTCCATGAAGCTTCTGAAAATTTATTGCAAAATCTCCTCCTTACGCTCAAAGGCGGATTCAGGATTTGATGTTTATGGGTTCGTACCGTAATTTCAAATTAATATGCAATAATAACTGGGTTTACAGTCAGATATTTATCAATATTTAGTGAATTTCTTAATATAAATACAGGATCTACGCAAAAATTACTGGATTCCCAGGAACCCGTAATCTATGCACTAGGTTCGCCTCTGCTTACACTCGATTCTAGGTTTTTTAATTTATTACAATTGAGTACATTACAAATTCAAAATGCAATAGGACGTACAGATAGAGTCGCCCAAATTTAATTTGCTGTATACAGTTTCAAATTTTAAGTTGTCAACTTGTTCAGTAAGTAGCAAACATAGCTGCACGAAACTTAAATTGGCAAAATGAATGATCATGCAACTGTTTTCAGAGTGGCAGCCTTGTGTGAAGACGATCTTTTGATAGTGGACATAGTTAAATATACTAGTATCTATGAATGTGCATTGCACGATAATAATAACATAGAATGATTTAATCAAGTAATTATATGAAGGCACAACAAATATAATGTATAAAATACAATATTGTTTAAATGCCAAAAATTATTATTATATTAGCATAATACGCGAATTCAAAATGATTGGATAACATATGAACCTGCAAAACTGAGCAATTTAGTCATGTTAGATAATTTTATTATATACTTATAATTTAGAAATATACAATGTGATAGATATCTAACCTAAGATTTTTTTTATAGGTAATTTTTTGTCTATATTCCCTTCTAATGCGTTGGTTCTTCTATCATGATCAGAACACTTATTGTCGATAGTGATATCCCTCTTGAAAGTGTAACATATATTGTATGTGCGAGAAAGCATATTGCGGTAAATATTGTCCTACGCTAGAGATTGTTTTTCTTTATATTATTTATTGTTTTGTAAAATACAAGTGTACAGAAAATTATTTTCGAACAAATTTAAAAAGATATTCTTTATTTTTGTAAGAGTAAAAGTTTAATTATAGGGATAAATACATGCTTGGAAACACATTGACCCATCAAGATTTTTATATGTATGATGTTGTCAAAACCTCTACGTACCATTCTTATACCATTAGCCATTAACACTTATAAGTTTTTCAACAGCATGAAGAGCATATTTTTCTTCAAAACTAACTCATATAAAATAGAAGATCAATTTTAAATTTGTCCATTATATACATACACGACACTAACATACATGAGAAACAATAAATTTGATATTGTACATGTGTGATGGAATTCTATTTGATGCTAAATTATCAAATATTCTTCCTCGTAATAGTTGTTGATATCATCTTCTATTGAGTCGAAACTGAAAAGTATTTTGCTTTAATCAATTAACTTGGCAATCAATATTATGCAGTTGATCCATGCTAGCTAAGATAGCACTTTCTCTCATATAATTTGCATAAATTATTTTTTTATTTAATTATAAAACTATTTCCCTTAGTAAGCGATCTTCACGACAAAATAAAGTGAAAAGTTACTGAATAATGGATGTTCTTACTCTTATATTTCTTGTTGGCTGATTTTTTTTTTCCATTTGAGGCTATAAGTATGAATTTATCAAGATAGTATTTACAGTCTTTACTCTCATCGATTATGAAACTATTGTACTACTCGATTTAAATCACTTCATAAAATTATTACTTTTCGACCAACAGTTTTTTGATATCCATATATCTGAAGCTCAGGTCAATTGTTTTAGTTGTCTGATGCTTCGTCATGGATGCTTCATATATCAAATATTATTAACTCTGTTTTCCTTATAAATCTAATACCATCACTCTACTTTGATATATTTGTGAAGATTGTTTCGGTAGTTTGAAGAGATATGTGGAATATAAAGTGAGTTGTATGACCTCCTCATAAAATTGTTGCTACTTGCTACTACACCACTTGTTGATATTGCTAATGGTTCTTGATCAAATATTTGCAAGTAATGCACGATATATGAATATTTTGTTCGATTCGTCTGGGATTTCTACAAAGGATAATCCCGTTTTACAATAGTTGTCTCTTGCAATATAATCTTTAAAGCTTGCTCGTGTTTAGGATTTAATTTTGATTGTGTATTAAAAAATTTCTCAAGCACTTGTATGGCCTTTTAACCCTTAATACTATCCTAATAGATTTTTTGTGTTTTTTCAATTTCACCTTCAATGATCTTCTTATATAATAAATTTATGTACCCTAAGAGTTTTATAAGCTTGAAATTATTTTTACATTTTGATGAATTTAAAAAAATAGTTAATTGAAAGACTTAATTATTTGATCTTAATATAATTAGCTCATATCATATTTTGAATATTTAATCGTAATTATAATTTAGCTACTAAATATCAATGAAAAATTCTACTGTTGGATCTTTATGAGGTAGAAATATTAATGGTATTGAACCTTACCAACCATATCTCTCTCTCTCTCACACACATACATATTTATATTCTTGATATTTCTTAATTATTGATTGTAATTTTAAAAATTATACAAAAAATTTGATGAATAGTATTTTGAGTAAGAAATCAACTCAAATATAATATGAAAAATGTACTGTTGATATATATAGTCCTAAGATAATATAAAAGGAACTACGATTACGTTATAATTTTTAAATAAAAATAATTGAAATATTAACTAAACCTTTAGTTGGTTGGATTAAAAATGGTATATTTATATTTAGAATAGAAAGGGAAAATGGAATCAAACTTATTCATAGTAATATGTATATTGCTCGCTATATTCTTGTCCAGTTATTAACAGGATTAAATTAATAGTAGTAAATATTGCCGAATGTGTATGTCCTAAAAGTGGCCTAATGTGAATATCCTAAAAGTAATAGGATTAAGGTGTAGTATTTCATTTATGCCCTTTCTTTGAGGGTTATTATGTTCAATATTTTAAGGCTATTTAGTTCATTGACTCTGTATTTGTGCTTTCATAATAATATAGATGATTATACTGAGCTCATACAAACTAATTTTAAATTTTAAATTCATTCTGTATAGCAATGAATAGTAATGTCTCTGGTAAAAACTTACCCTCACCCACGGTTTAAATTATCAAATCAGTGAATACAAGACCTATGTCGCTATATCATTTTATTATATTACTTACTGTAGCAGCTTCGGATATTGTAGACTAAGGCAAATGATTGGTATGAGGTTTCTTTTGGTATTTCACTTTTTTTTTTTTGGTTCGAGTTGAATGTATAGCTATTATATTGAGTAAAAAGAAAATTAGACTTTCTTATTAAATCTACTTTTCTTAGATTAAAGCCGTGAATACGAGCAATGTCGCCGCCTACTTGAAGTACGGTATCGGTATTTATAATCTTCTCTATTATATTGTTCAATCATTCACGAATAGTATTGCTAATTTCGTCATCTCGAATAGTTACCATGATTCTTTCTTTATTATTTTTTGAAAGAAAAAAATAATACCTACAGTAGAAAGACTAATAAGTTATTTTTTTCATTATTTCTAATATGCCAATATTGGCAGTAATAGTACATAAATGTAACTCGTTGTTCGAACAACTATTTAGAGGTCCTGGAGCTCCTCATAAGGCTCGTTGGAAAACCCGTTATCGAACTTGATTAATCGAATTTGAACTTCCACTAAATCAAGCATGATAATATGTACATTCCTACATAATTTGCAACTTGACCTATATGACCATTTTCTTGTTTATTTGGTGTATATGTATGTATGTGCGTAAGCTTCTTGTTTAAAACGCGTATAGATTAGGCACATTATTTACTTACGGACACGTAAAGAGAAGGAATTTTTACCTTAGGGAAGACTCTCACAGGTCCTTTGAAAGAAAACGTCATCTCAATTAGTTGACAAACTAGTCTTACAAGAAAAGGACAATCAATGGTTCGTAAATTCTGCACATAAAGTTCAAAATAAAAAGAAAAAAAACAACAACAACAAAAAAAAAAAATGCAGACTTTCTAGAATGCACGCGATATATGGTTGCCCGTAAACTTTTACTATTGTTTAAACATTGATTAATTAGTACATACTCTTACTTTATTGTGTCACTTAATTAATCATGATAAGTTGATATGATTTGACGCAAATGGTGGATGTGAGGGATTAGTAAGTATCCGACGGTTGACGTTTCAAAATCAAATTTGCCTATGATCAATATTAACTAAAACACCAACTTTCAAAAATTACTCCAAAATCACATTATTTGTATGCCTAGAAGTAGAATAGTCATACAATTAGCGCACTCGCTTTACTAAAGACATGCATGACTCATATCTTTAGTGCCACTGCCAGCTATGAAACGAAGGAGCCCCAAAATCCTTGTGGAGCATAGAACCAAGCTGATTGAGTTTTGTATCTGAATCGAGTTTTTCCAATAAATGGCAATAGGAACTCTTTTTCACTTTGTTAGATCTCAAGCGAGACACCTAAAATCCAGGAATTTCCTGTCAGGTTAGTATTTCATTTCTGTATAATTGCCCCTTCTATATATTTTTGCGACGCCTTAGACAAATCTCACATTGACAAAACACTAAAGAAATGTTAGGTATATAAGTAAATAAGTCTTGAACCCTAGTGATGCGTTTTAAAACCGTGCAAGTCTAGGCCAAAAACGGATAATATCACTAGTGAGCTGAGTTGTTAGAATTTTTTTAGTGTATACAAGTACATACTCCACTTGATTTCTAGGAATGAAAATGAAAGTAAGCAACACTCTTCTGTTAATGATCTTGTGAATAACTGTATATTCCAAACTTTTCAGAGATTATGATCCTACGTGCTAAATGGAAACATGGGCCAATGTCACTGTGGGCGTATCTATTGCTTTTTGACTCGAACCGTATATATATGTATTTGTAGTTCAAAAAATAAAAAATGTGCCTGCTATCGCTATCAATTAATGAGCATGTATACGGTCAAAATCGAGAAGTTCGACTCTGGGTTACTGTGGCACTCCACACCGACCTCGAGAAGCTCGAAGCAAAACATGAAGTGCGACCCCGAGTTGCGTCTCTCGAGGGAGCACATCGAAGGTTCACTATGGTCATCCTCGAGGTAGTATAAAATTGATGACCGTCACGGAAGGGCGGAAAAACTCCCAAGGACGCGTGGTTAGAGCTGATAAGGTCTGTAAAGTTAGTACAAACCCGTACAAGTCTGTTACACAGCTATACCAATAGCATTTCTCTGTCATGATTAGACATGTACAATATTGGGATTCACCCCTCCTATATAAAGGGGACCCAAATATTCTTGTAGGGGGACTTTTTCACTGGGTAACATATACAATATTGAATACAATAGAACATTCTCTGCTTTTCTTGCCTAAACATTCTCAACAATTACTCTACGAATTTATTGCATTGTTCTTCATTTATTACTTCTCAATTATTGTGTTCGTCTATTGTTCTTCATTTATTTCTCATCATCAGATTTTAAAGGCTGCCCTCGAGGTCCCATATTGCGGAGCTCGGGGCCCCCAGTCTTGTGACCACATTGGTTTGCTTACCATTTCTTATTCATTTATATTTAGCATTATTCACGTAACAACTAGTATTGAGATAAATCACGTATTTTTAGAACCACAAATCAAATATAATTGTTAGTACCATTTTCAAGGTAAACAGTTTGGCGCCCACCGTAGGGCTAAAAATAATAGTGATGGTTTTGGTGCTAGTTTTCTGATAACACACATTATTCTTCACACTTTTTCTTGTCAAAGATTCTTTGATTTCATGCTTAATCATGTATAGCACACAAAATGCACCTCTTCACGACAGTGGGGGACTTAGAGAAAACAGCGGCATAAGGCTCAATGTACCACCTGTAAACCCTGAGGGAGTACCAAACGTGGAGCCAGTTGATATCAGCTCCCATAATACTCTAAACACGGAAGCAGGTGCAGACCCCTCAAGGAATGCACGTAGGGAAACCCAGGCTACAAGCCAAGGAGCACGAGGAATGGAAGAGGGAGGAGTCAGCCTCCAAGTAATATTTGAGATGTTGCAAGCTTAGCAAGTCGTCATCACTCAACTTCAAAGTCAGAACAAAACCCCTAACACCGCCAAACCAGTAAACATGCAGCACGAACCAGTGCTGGAAAGACCCGATGAATGCGACTTGGGGACTGACCCATCAGTCATGAAAGTGCTTGAGGAATTGACCAAAAGAATCGAGTCAGGGGAAAAGAAGATAACTCGAGGGTTGATTAGCTCTCGGGCGCACCCCCCGATTCTGAAGGGTGTAGATTCAAAGAAGTTTGTGCAAAGACCATTCCTATCAAGTGCGGCTCCGAAGCCCATCCCGAAGAAATTCAGAATGCCCGATATCCTAAAGTATAACGGGACCACGGACTCCAATGAGCACAGTACCTCTTACACTTGTGTTGTAAAAGGGAATGACTTAAAGGATGACGAGATTGAATCCGTCCTGCTGAAGAAATTTAGAGAAACACTGTCGAAGGGAGCCATGATGTGGTATCACAACCTACCCCCGAACTTGATGGATTCGTTTGCCATGTTGGCAGATTCTTTTGTGAAGGTGCATGTCGGAGCCATCAAGGTTGCTACAAAGAAGTCCGACATTTTCAAAGTCAAGCAAAGGGAGAACGAGATGCTGAGGAAATTTGTATCTCATTTCCAGATGGAGCGAATGGAATTGCCACCGGTCTCCGATGACTGGGCAGTGCAGGCCTTCATCCAAGGCTTGAACGAGCGAAGCTTGATAGCTTCGAAGCAGCTAAAGCAGAATTTGGTTGAGTATCCCACTGCGACTTGGGCAGATGTACACAACAGATATCAATCGAAGATCAGGGTCGAGGATGACCAACTGGAAGCCACTTCTGGCTCAATATATCCTAGCAGGCTCTTAACAAGGAATCAAAGTCTACAGAAAGAGAGTGGAGATCAGGCAAAGAAAGGTATCAGCCAAACTTCAAAGACCAAAGAGACATTTTGTGGCGGAATATACCTCGAAACGATCGAGGAGTAGATCGAAGACAAAAATCCAGGGGACTTATGAGCAAGATCGGGTTTAACGGACATTCGAGGTCAGTGGAGGCACCCCGACTGTCAGAATACAACTTCAACATCGATGTCTCAGACATCGTATTGGCCATGGGTAGATTTAGGGATACCAGATGGCCAAAACCCACACATTCAGATCCTTCCCGAAGGAACCCCAACCTGATGTGTGAATACCATGGCATCCGCGGTCATAGTACCGATGATTGTAGACAGCTCCGAGAGGAGGTGGCCCGACTGATCAACGAAGGGCACCTTCGAGAATTCCTCAGCAATCAAGCCAAGAACCACTGTCGAGAAAGAAATGCGAAGGGAAAAAATGAACCAGAAGAACCACAACACGTCATCCATATGATCGTTGGAGGGGCCGACGCCCCACATGGACCCGTTATCAAGTAGACGAAAATATCCATCACTAGGGAAAAGCAAACTCGGAGTTACATATCAGAGGATGCTCTGACATTCAGCAAAGAGGACATCGAGACCTTGTCTTAGCCTCATAATGACACACTTGTAATTTCTTTTCTTTTGGATAAATTTCAAATTAAATGCGTGCTCGTGGATCCAGGTAGCTCGGCCAACATAATCAAGTAGAGGGTGGTGAAGCACCTCAAACTGCTCGACCAAATCGTACCCACCTTTTGAGTCCTCAATGGATTTGATATGTCGAGCGAGACAACGAAAGGGGAGATCATCCTCCGGGTCAACGTGGCCGGTACAATCCAAAATTACAAGTTTCACGTCATCGAGGGTGACATGAGATACAATGCCTTACTCTGAAGGCCTTGGATACACAGTATAAGGGCAATACCTTCAACCCTTCATCAAACAATGAAATTTCCAACCAAGAATAGAGTAAAAGCAGTCTACAAGGAGCAACATGTGGCGAGAGAGACGTTCGCGGTGCACGACATAGCACCGACATTGACGCCCTCTTTCGAAGAAGCTAAAAGATAAGCAAATAGCCAAGTAGCAATCGCAACCGACATTCTCGGATACATCCGAACGGGTGAATAAAGGACCGTTCCGCATCCACAGAGCAAGCAATTGAAATTTATCAAGGCTCCAATGCCATCATTTCTAAGGTACAACCCTCTCCCTTTTCATTTTTATTTTAAACTAACTTATTGTAGGTGTACGATTGAGAGGAATCGAAGCGCCCTCTAGCTCAAAGACCTTGGGTTTTAAAGCATGCATTGCGCTCTTTTTCCCTTAGACTGGATTTTATCCCGAACGGGTTTTGCCGGCGAGATTTTTAACGAGGTAACATCCATATGCTACCTAAGGAGAACACATCAAGTATTCGAGGCTCCTCTTCGATCAACCTCAAATACTAGGGGCATCACCCTTGGAAGAAACTGAACTATGCCTAGGAGGACCTCGATAGGAGAATGTTGTATTGCACCAAACAGTCAAATGAATCGTGTCTATGTAAAATAATTGAGCCTCCAAAGGCAAAAAACATGTATGCATATATCAAGTAATTGAGGAAGCCCCTTTGCTTATCAAAACCTTTTGTGCCTCAAAGAAATTCACTACTTGCTCATAAGACAGCTCAAGGGTGTCGCACCCCCTTTTTCCTCGCGGAATCTGGTTCTAACATTTGGTTGGGACAACTCTTTCCTTTTGGGAAGGAGGTCTTGCAATTTTGGAGAGTCGCCACCTAACAATTTTAAGGTGCGTTAGGGCACCTATAAGGTTCATCTACAACTACCTTTTGGTAACCAGAGATAGGGTAATGGCTTGAAATTATCCTAAAGAGAAGGTGTTAGGCACCCTTCAGGATCCACTAGTGTGGTTCCCAGCCAAACAGTATTTGTGAATTTGTGCAATTAGCAAATAAACAAGTATGACTCAAATAGTAGGAGATTTGAATTTAAATACACAAGTGTTTGAAACAATTAGTGAAAGGTGCAATTTTGAAAAGAGTTACAATCTAAAGCATGCTTATGAATGTAAAGGGGGTGTCCTAGGTTTGTTTGTAATATGGATAACATCATTGCAATATCCGGTATAACACTCCTCGAAGAGGGGCTACACGTGGTACTAACGCACCGATCATCATATCCATATCTACCCTTTCCCGCCCCGTGAAGGTAATCAAAGCGAAGGTTGGTCTCGACCCCTATTCCATGTTGTTACCCGTCCCTTCCAATCAGTCCCGGAGGAATTTAGGACTCCTATCCTAAAAGAGGGGGTTCTAGGCAGACCCTCAGGTTTAAAGGAAAAATACTAAGCGACAAACAAGAACATATAGGACTGCATTTAGGGGAAAAAGGCATAAGCAAGTAGAAGGCTCAGGTATACCTCCACAAATAATGCACATAGACAGCATGATTTATACACAATTAGGGTCTGAATTTAAATGCATGGTATCTAAGTGATAGCATGAGAACCAGATTTATTACATGACTTAGAAAAGAAGTTCGAATCAGGCTTACCTACAAATTTTAATAGGTTGACAATTAAACAAAGGCAATTCTGGTTTTATTTAAAGTTGATTACCTAAGGCTTGCCTAGGCGTAAAATAATGTAAAACAGTTATTCAGGATTATTAAAAGATAGTTTGGAAATTATTTTACCCTAAGAGCATGTTGTTATAGTTGATACGAATGCAGAGATTATTACCAGTTATTTTAAATGGTATAATCAAGTGTGAAACTGTTTCTACCTCTTTTATGATCAAAAGTTTACACTAAGTGTGAATGCAGGTATGAATAAGATTCTAAAACATGGTATCTAAGATGTATGTATAAAACTCATGGTACAGAATTCCTAGAGCATGATTTCTAAATGCATATGGCAGGATTGTAGAATTTCCTAAGAGCAGGATTTCTGAATTCACGTGGCAGCGTAGAACATAATAGTAAAGTGCTAATTATTAGTAGATTTTAACACATGATTTTGTAAAGGTGCACATGCTGAAACAATAAACATGAGACCTAAGGGCATTATTTCTAATGCATGTATGAACCCTAAGCATGGTTTCTATTGCGCAATTAGGAACATAAACCTAATAACATGTTTTCTACCCTTAACAACTATATCATGCATATTTACCCCATCTTTTCACTAGCCAACCCCAATACTGGTTTACAATAAATTATTACAGGCCAACATGAAATGGATTACATAAGTAGAAATGAAAATAGGAAGTTATACTATAGGAAGCCTGATTAGGACTTCCTCTCTGAGTTATACAATCAATCACCTCAAGTGCCAAGATTGTTCCATTGCCTTTCTCATATCCAGGTGTGTCAGAGTTCCCTAAGGACCTCAAGGGATCCCGGGCAGTGCTCACACCAAGATTGTATAACCAAGACAGAGTAAGTGCAGTGTGGAAGGTCCGGCTTTTGTGTGTCCAAGTTCAGAGGGAGCCCAATGGTCCCAAAGCAACGCTCACACAAAAGGGGCAGAACCTAGTAATCTAAGAGTATAGGTGAGAGTGCTTGACATAGATTTAAAAAATCTGAGTTGGAAAACAGTTTGAACAGCATGTTTGAAATAAGCTTGCAAAACAGCAGAAGAGGTTGCCTTAGGGAAAATCAGTTTTGAAAGGAGGAGGGAATAAGAGTAACAATAACTTAGAACAAACCAGCACACACAAGTCAAATTCAAAGAATAGGATCATTTCAATATTCACAAGCAGGGAAGTAAAGGGGTTGGGGACATATAGGTTTGAAACCATATAGATAGGGAAAACATTTGGCACAACAAGCATACAGAACAACTTTGAGTCTACTGAGCAAATCAGTCATGATGACAACTATTTAAAACATGGGGAAGAATGCAACAGGATCATGTTGAAGACAAGAGTTTTGTTGAACAAAATTTGACATACTATTAGGGCCAATAGAATGCACCAGAAGAATAAGTGACTACATGGTTATACCAGTTAAAGAAAAGGGGGTTAGGGAACTAAGTGAGCATGCTGGACAAGTATCAAGAAACTAAGTAAAATCTGATATGATGATTACACATAAGGCAAAATTTAGACATACTTCGTAACAGCAAAACATTGGGACAAGTTGAAGAACTAGTACATAACAAGAAGGGATGTGTAGGCATGGAACACATGAAGTTTGAGTTTCAGAATTGAACTAGGAACATACCAGTTAAGGAAGCAAAGTGCAGAAAAGTAAAGCAAGTAGAGTTCCACAGCTTAGCCTTGGCTTTCAGCCAGCTAGACAAGCAATAACACAAGTAGCAGAGAAAGAAGAGAAAGTCTGAGTGTGTGTGTTTTTGAACTAATTGTTCGTGTCCTGGATTGAGAGTAGATGAGAGTATATATAGTAGTTTAGGAGTGGAGCAAAATAAGGTAAAGAAATCATAATTCAGCAATCAAGGAAATCACATATGAAATTAGCACAGTCTTCCTTCAATTAAGGACAAATACCCAATGGTTAAAGGACATGAGTCACTTAAGGAAAGAAAATCAAATCAGACCTAAGTAAAGAGGTATGCAAACAGAAGTTTAATTAAGGAAGTAATCGTGAAGAATCAGTAACATTACGGACATTAAGGTAATAAGAATAATCAGAGTTATAAACAATGGAATGAATCAATGATCAGTACATAATTTTAAATAAGCAAATCAGTCAATCGACATTCAAAATAATGCTGATTTGAAGAGAGGGAAAATATCAGTTTTCCATAAATAGACAAATAGGCAAAACATAGAATTTGATAAACATGCATAGACTTGCCAAGGGATCGACTCAGAAACCCTAGTAGAGATGAACTAGGGTAAAAGTCACAAGATATTGAATTAGGCTAAAGGGGAAAATCATGAAATTCAAAGCAAAACACCAACAATGCAACAAGTAGCTCGAAAAGACTCAGAATCGAAACAAAAACATAAGAAAATTAGGACTTTAACACAAACTAGTTAGGGTCCAGACAATTTCAGCAGAAATCAGTAAATAATACCTAAGAACATTTGATTAACACTCGAAAATCATAAAAATATTGAGAAGACGAGTTTTAGTAAATCCTAGTTTAGAAAAGAGCAACTAAAATCGAAATAGTTACTCAAAACAGGAGATTTTTAAAGGATAACGTTTAATAACACTGGAATCATCTCAGATCTATAAAGATCTAGGAAGAATCGAATAGTAGTGAGTCTAGGGTTTCAAAAAATAGTAAAGATGAAGAAAAATCGGTTAAAAACTCATGGATACACTTAGATCTAAAGAAAAGTGAAAAATCTCAAGAGCTAGGGTTTCAAAGAACCCAAAGAAGGTGAGAAAACATTAGATCGTTACCGGTTTTAGCCGGAAAGGCCATGGATCTTACTCGAACAACCATGGATGGTTGGAATGAAGCATAAAAGACCATGGATAGAAGTTGAACAAGATCTGGACTAGATCTCTTCGAGATCTTTCCACAAAATCATAAAA